ACGCTAGTGAGAATGGCAGCGGTGTGCCGCTCTCGGCCTTCACTTAGGGCCAGAGCACCGCTGCGGTCAGCCAAGTCAAAAGGCTGATTAAAGAATAGACGCTAGTGAGAACGGCAGCGGTGTGCCGCTCTCGGCCTTCACTTAGGGCCAGAACACTGCTGCGATCAGCCAATCAAGGGCTGATTAACGAATAATTGCTAGTGAGAACAACAGCGGTGTGCCACTCTTGGCCTTCACTTAGGGCCAGAGTACTGCCGCGAACAGCCAATCAAGGGCTCATTAACGAATAATTGTTAGTGAGAACAGCAGCAGTGTGCCGCTCTCGGCCTTCACTTAGGGTCAGAGTACTGCCGCGAACAGCCAATCAAGGGCTGATTAACGAATAATTGCTAGTGAGAACAGTAGCGGTGTGCCGCTCTCGGCCTTCACTTAGGGCCATAGCACTGCTGTAATTAGCCAAGTCAAAAGGCTGATTAAGGAATAATATATTAAAAGAATAAACCCTTACCGTGCTCAGCGGTTACCTGCGCTGACTTGCGAAGTGGCTGAGCATAATCTTATCGAGCTGCGCAGACCAGCCAAGTGGTGGTTGATCRCACCGGCATAAACAMGTAATCGAGGTAGAACCYCGGGCAGCGGCACAACGCGAATGATCTTAACTTAGGGCCAAGTGYCRCTGCACCCGTTGATGTGTGATCGGCCAAATAGTGGCATACCGCAAATAATCCAAATAGAACTCGGGTAGGATGACAKCGAAATGTGCTCTGGCACACAGATRCGTAAGGCTCATCAGCAGGGTGCGCATGGGCGCACAKYTTTCAGTACTCATGAGTTCAGAGTCAACCCTCAGACATGGTGCGCCGAGCACATAGTTCAAATACATCCCTCAAGCATAGTGAGCAAGTGTGGTGCCCAAGCAGCGAATGGCCAGACTTAAAAATTGGTCAAGATGTTTGGTTGGACTTCGCAAACATTCTCAAAATCGATGTGGCTGCGCATACAGTCTTAAAATCGGCTCGGTGTTCAGTATGGCTGTATGAGCAGCCTCAAAAATCGGCTTTGTTCTCAGAGTGGCAGTCTCAAAATCGGCTCTGTACTCGAGGTGACTGCGCTGGCAGTCTCAAAATCGGCACTGTTCTCGAGGTGACTGCGCTGGCAGTCTCAAAATCGGCCCTGTTCTCGAGGTGACTGCGTTGGCAGGCTCTGTTCTCAGAGTGACTGCGCTGGCAGTCTCAAAATCGGTTCTGTTCACAGTAAAAAATTGCCCTTAAATACAGTGTGGTTTCAACTCTCAAGTGTGCGCAAACACACAGTTTGGTCACGACCCTCAGATACAGGGTGTGAGCGCAGAGTTTATGACCAATCAGATACAGAGTTCAGGCAAGGTGCGCACAGATCAGATGCGGCATACACACAACCCAAGGAGACGGTTGGAAAGAAGAGGGAGAGAGAAAGGAAGAAGAAAAGAGATAAGAGAAGGGGGGAGAAAGGGAAAGTGAGGGGCCAGTCTTGCCCCTCCCTTTCCTTACCCCTCCCTTTGCTTGCCTCCTGCTCGACTCTTGCCTCCTCCACGCTCCCCTCATGCTTCTGGTGGCACGTCGCCGTTCTTTGACCAGTGCCTTTTTCTCCTAGCCGTTCCGCCGAGGCTGTAGTGCTCCCGCAAGTGAGGGTTCTCTCACAGTCTGATCCATGCCACGTGTGTCACGTATACAGCTCTCGCACACTGATCTGTGATCCGTGTGATCTGTCCTTTTGGGTGACGTGGCCTCTCTTTTATAATGGAGAGGCCAGGTGATCGGGGCTGAGTGCTGCAGTCCCATGGTCGGGGCTGTGGTCAAGCTCTAGACCGGGCCTGTGCTAAAAATAGCAGCAGTCCTGACTTCGGGATATGAACAGTCAGTCCCGTCAGACGAACAGTCAGTCCCACGCTAAAAATAGTGTGGGGCTGTGCTAATTTTAGAACGGGACTGGCGCAGTCCTAGTCCCCGGTAGACGAACAGTCAGTCCCGCGCTAAAAATAGCGCGGGGCTGTGCTAATTTTAGAACGGGACTGGCGAAGGCCCAGTCTCCAGTAGACGAACAGTCAGTCCCGCGCTAAAAATAGCGTGGGGCTGTGCTAATTTTAGAACGGGACTGGTGCAGGCCCGACTTTGGGAGACGAACAGTCAGTCCCATGCTAAAAATAGCACATGACCCTATTTTAATTACTCGGGCCTGGCTGTTCATCTATATGACTTCTTAGGGCTATTCCTTTTCTGGCCAAGTTATGCGGCCGTGTCGGTCCGGTCCCAACCGGTCAACGTGCATTATCTCACTAACCCTTGGTCCATTTCGAGTGCCGTGTGGACCGGACCCCACTAATTGGCCCATTGCGGTCCCGACGGTCCAGTCCAACGGGGACGATCAGGTCTGTGAAGGACCGTACTGTCGCGCTGTCTTTCCCTTGATCTCGGCTCAGGGGAAATCTAACCGACGCGCTAGAGTCTAGTTTGACCATGACTGTGGACGTCCCTAGGCGCGATTTAGACGTAGCGTGGGGTTGACCGCGGCGAGTCATTTTCCGCTGCTGCGCCGCACCGTCTTCCGACAACCATACCAAATCCCATTCCTGGCGTCCTCGGCAGGTTTCGGCCACTATAAAGGCCTAATATCGTACTTGCTTTCATCATTCACACTTGGATTCGCATCTTCAAGTGTGCATCGCTGTTATGCTCTCGCTATTACCGCTGTTCTTATCGCACTAGCGCTTATCGTAGCGCAATGCTTATCATCGCACAACGCTTATCATTGCGCAGATAATCAGTTTTGCCATGGCGCCAAAGACGCGAGGCTCGGGCACTGGACGTGGGAGAGGAGGTAGACAGGGAAAGGCGTCAGATCGACTGATCGATTTGACGTACGAAGTGGAGAGATCCGAAGAGGAGGAGGAGGAGGCGAGATGGGGAGGAACGCGCTTGCGCCATCGCTCAGAGGACCGGCGCGAGCGCACGCCGTCGCCTAGATCTATGATGTACTATGCGTATAAATACGAGCAGCGCTACGGCTCACCGCTTCCACATTTCGATCCGCCCTCTCGATCATACCCTTCACCATACCACCGTTCTTCCTCTACTCAACCATCTCCTCACCAGCTGACCGTCCTGCCATAGCCGCCTCGCCCTACGCCACCGCCGGTGCCACGCGCACCAGAACCGCCCGTCGCCCACCAGGCTGCGCCACCCAACTATCGCTTGTGCCTCATACTTGCGTTGTTCTTCATATGCCAACTCGAGCTATGCGGCCTTGTATGCTATCTGATATGCAGGGGTATCATATAGACTATATCCCAATCATCAGGGTGCTCGCCCGCTAGGGCTTGAGTGCTCACTCAATAACGCATGGACCACTGGTCCAAGCCACCATCAGAATCAAGAAGGAATTAGCCTTATCAGACTTGCGTGGTGCAGTCACCGCACGCAAGTATCATGACTGCTCACGCAGCCCAATCATACTAGCAATTTCGTTCCCTTGCATCACTTAATCAGCCTCAATCTCTAGCCAAACCTTTCATTAGGTTTGGCCTCATGCATCATCATGATTGATCCTCAATCTTAAACCTGACCCCATCGTTAGGTCTGGTCTAGCAGTCCAAGTCTGTCTTGGCCTGCACATCTCATCAACATCGGATCAGTCCATCTCATCCGTACTGCCCATCAGTACAGCATAATCCTCATCGATATCTCAGCCACGGGCGGGTATGGGACCAATCATCGAATCCAGGATCATCCAAGTCATCTAGACCGAAGGCTGCCTCATAAGGGGTGAACATACCAAACCCCTTTCTCTTTGTCTGTCGGCTCTGTGCCGCTCACTATCGGGTCTTACCAAACCCCGTTATCTTCGTCTGGCTGTAGGGTACCTGCAAAACAGATGTCAAGTCATGCCTAAAAAAAAGACGAGAAAAAGGATCTCTCCTAAGGACCCTTGCCAACACCCCTTCCTCACTCACTCTCAGAGTCTTACCTTTCAGCCTTCCGAGAGTGCCCCCGCTCGCCCTGGTGGGCTCCTCCGCTGACCCAACCCGGCAAGCAGAGCAAAGTCAGTCCTGATTCCCAGTCATGGCGGTCCGACCACCCTTTGAGCCCTTGCTCAGAACAGCTCACGGGGAGCCTTACACCCCTTCATGAAGCCCTCACTCCGATGAGTGCAGGCCAATGGCGCGGAAGTTCTTTAGTCGACTTCAGAACCTCTGTCTAGTCGGTCGACTTCTTTCTAATGCCCGACTCTTGCTACTGTGCGGGGAGCCAGCCAACCCCCAACCAGACACTGCTGGTGAGTCAGAGCGAGTCCATAATTAAGCTTTGCAACAGTGGGCTAGGAGGCCATAATGACCCTGTTGCCAGCTGGGCTGTGGATACCTGGCTTGGCCCGATGCCAAGGGAATGCCCCTGGAGACACTGCTCCCGAGAGACACCCCGATCAGAGTGATAGTAGGAGTCCACCACCTTGATCAGCCAAATGTCGGATTTAGACTGGGAGAGGCTCAGGATGCCTCCTTCCTTTCTAGCAGGCAGACCAGATTATCATATGATGACCTGAGGAACGGCTAGCCACTCTAGGGTCCGGAGTTATCTGCCACTATGGCTCAGACACCCCGCTGACCCAGCTAGCCTCTGGGCCTTGTGAGAACCTGCTTCAGGGAATCATCTCTTGCTCAAGAGGCGCAGTCGAAAACTCTCCGCCTCTTCGTGAAGGACGCAAGTGCTGACACCGCAGGGGACGCTACTGTGGATAGACTCTCGCCGGAGAACCGTTGCGAGAGCCCGACGGCTGCAGTGGGAACACTCCTTCCAGCATGAAGAATGCAGCGAGCCTCAATCCGCTGCGATGCTAAGTGATCTTTGCCCGATCACATGATCGGACTGATCACTCCATCGATTATGACACATGATTGATTACCTATCCCCTTAGAGCTTGGTAACGTTTAGTCACGAAGGCCCGTCTGGAGAGGAACCCCATCTCGGCGATGCTAAGTCCCTTGCCAAGGGAACACTTCACTAAGCTAGATGTCACCCTCTTTCAGATATAGCTAATCAATTTGTGCCAGATGATGCTAGGCAATCCTCCTTACGCGATCGTACTAGAAGGTTGCCCCATCAACTGAGCGCTGACTTATGAGAGGAAGAAAACAGATTTTACGTTATCCCACAGCCATTCATTTCATAAATGTCATTCAGACTAAATAAAATACAATAAGAGGCAAGAACTGAAATCCCATAAACTGGCTCCTAATCCCCCAGGCATGTCCCATGACTGACACATGACAAGCCAGAAACAATGTAATGAACTGAAATTTTAAAAGTTTAACTCACAATCATACAAAACTGGGGCCAATCTAGGCCCGGCAAACACATAAGTCCACCAATGAGCCGAGCCATCATAGGCTTCTCGTATCCAGCTCCGGCATCCGAAATCATACCATGATCATAGCAACCGACTGTCGGTTGCTGCTGGCAGCACACGGGCCACGTCCGAGCACCTAATCATCATCGTTAGTTGCCGGCTCACTGGCCACGTCCCAACTCATAATCATTTGTAGCTGACGGCGACACTGTCCACATCCCAGCTCATAATCATCATCGATATCCAGCGGCTCACTGGCCACGTCCCAGCAAATAGTCATCATCATCTGTAGCTGGCGGCAACACTGTCCACATCCCAGCTCATAATCATCGATAGTTGGCGGCTCACTGGCCACATCCCAGCAAATAATCNTGGCGGCTCACTGGCCACATCCCAGCAAATAATCATCATCATCTGTAGCTGGCGACAACACTGTTCACATCCCATCTCATAATCATCGATAGCTGGCGGCTAACTGGCCACGTCTCAGCAAATAATCATCATCATCTGTAGCTGGCAGCAACACTGTCCACATCCCAGCTCATAATCATCGATAGCTGGCGGCTCACTGGCCACGTCTCAGCAAATAATCATCATCATCTGTAGCTGGCGGCAACACTGTCTATATCCCAACTCATAATCATCGATAGTTGGCGGCTCACTGGCCACGTCTCAGCAAATAATCATCCGAAGTTGGCAGCACTCTCACCACGTCCCAACAAATGATGAGGGCACACTGGCCACGTCTCAGCATGTCTAGGCTGATGCTAGACGGCTCTCGGGCCTCGCCTCATCACTCTGCCCGAACTCGAAATTTAATCTGCATCTCTAAGTATGAATTTTTGGAGTCGGGAGCCGGATACTATACCATGGGATCTCGTACCATCCATCTCTGCTAACTCATAGGCCTTGCCTTCAACCTCTCTGATGATCCTGAATGGTCCCATCCACCTGGCCTCCAATCTCCTGGTCCACTGTGTCTCGAGAGATGTATCATGCAGAAGTACAATATCTCCGACATGAAGTCGTTCCTTCCGGATGTACCTCTTGCTGTTCCATCGTGTCTGATCAGATAACCTGCTGTCTGACATGCTCTTCGTGGCCTCAATTATGGCCTCATCCACTTCCTTGATCTGCCTGATCCTCAGCCTCAGCAACTCCTCTGTGGAGTATGACTCTCTCTACGCCTCATGGGTCCAGGTCTCAACCAGGTTCTCAATGGGAGATGTAGCATACCTGCCATACCAGAGTGTAATAGGCGCATAACCTGTAGTCCGTTTGACAGTCACATTGTCAGCATAGACTGCCGCCCTTAAGAAAGATGGCCAGTTCCTGGAGTCGCCTTGGCACCATTTTGATATAGCATCCTTTAGTGTCCTGTGACCTCTCTCCACTGGTGCATTAGCCTGAGGATGATATGGTGTCACAAATTTGATCCTGACTCCAAGTCTGAACATGAGTCTCCAGACCATCTCGTTCTTGAACTCTGATCCCTGGTTAGCCACAAACTCACGTATGAAGGGGTACCTCAAGTAGATTTCCTCGATCCAATCTACCACTGTCTTTGGAGTTTTCTTACGGATGGCTTTTGCTTCAACATAACCAGACATGTCATCTCTCATGTTTAGTACATATTTCATTCCATCCTTACCAGGTGGCATAGTAATTAGATCAAGGTGAACAGTACTGCCAGGTTCAACAAGAACAGTGGGGTATAAGGGTTCAATCAATCTCATAGATGACCTTTTCTGACAGGCTTCACATGACTTACAATATCTCATAACCATATCCCTTAGACCATCCCAGTGATATAGTCGAGATACTTTATAGTATGTAGCATCAGCACCCCTATGACCCCCTGCTAGACCCTCATGCAGTGCGGCGATCACCTCCAGTTGCCTTTCCTTACCACACACTACTCTCAGTGGCGGTAGTCCTTCCTTAGCATCCACAAAAAGGTGACCCCTACGCAGCCTAAAGGTTCTCTTTGTTCTCTCATGATAGAATTCGTCCAACTGATTACTGCTCATTACCATACCGATCCTCTTATATTCTCCATCATACTCATCCTTCTTAAATCTCTCCTCAGCGTCCTTATCTTGCGCAGAGTCTTCCGACTCTTCCTCTATCTCATTCAGCCTTCGTTCAACCATCCTTGAACTTTCTGCTAGCTCGTGAGCTGCAACAGCAGCTTGTTCTACCATCCCATACCATCCTTCCTCCTCATCCTTTCGAGTTAGAAGGTAATGGAGGTAAGGGTCTTCCTTTTCTCCCCAACAGTCTTCCCTGCTCGTTGCTATGGCTGAAGCTGTATAACAACTAGGAGCTGGAGGTAGTCCTTCATCATCGTCTTCCATAAGGAATTCATCAACAAAGGGTGCCTCCTCAAGAGATTCATCATCTATTGATCCCCATTCTACGCAGCTCAGCCCATCGGCTTGATTCTTTTCAGTAGGTACCTTCTCTAATACAAAATCATACGTCCATATGTGAGCTATCCATCTACTGACTGTGACATTTACCTGTTGATGCCTCTTAACAACTCCGATTACCGCCGTGGAATCCGTTCTTAGGATGAATCTCCGCCCCATAACATAGTGTCTAAACACCCTGAGACAGTGCAGGATAGCCAGAAGTTCCTTCCTGAACTGAATATAGTCTCTCTCAACCGAATTAAGGGTGCGACTCTCAAATCTAAGTGGCCTCTCTTTACCATTCTTATCTCGCTGCACGAGCACCCCTCCTAATGCTATTGGGCCACTATCGGCTTCGATGATGAAGGGCCTCTCCCTTTCATCGTCGAAGTAGGGTACTCCTGATACGACCCCGCAATCTCTCAGCTTATCTTGAAGTACCCGCGCAGCCTTCTCTCTTTGGTCAGACCACTCTAAGCTAGCTCCTTGTCGCACCATTTCTCTAAGAGGTTCGGCTATCTTGGCAAACCCGGGGATGAAGATCCGCCAGAAGCTACAGACCCCTAGGAAACTCCTTACTTCCCCAACCGTTTTTAGAGGCATAGGCCTATCCACTTTCTTCGGATCGGGGCTCCTTTCTTCCAAGAAGCACTTAAAACCCAAGATCATCACCTCCCTTTGGAATAGTAGTGATTTCGACCCGCTGGCTGTTAGGTTGTATTTAGCCAACCTTTCTAGTACTTTCGCTACTCCCTGCGCATGTTCCCATACGAACTGCCTGACTCGACCTTCCACTAAAGTCTCATCTTTCTCCTTTGGTCCTTTAACTGGATTGTCGTCAATGGATGGGAACGTAACCTCTGGGCATATGTCCTCCATGACCTTTAGCATGCCTCGTTGGACGACCGCAACCCCATTCGTCCACCCTTGAGGCACCACACACATTTGTATGAGGCCTCTAGGTGTATGCATGGCGGTCATAGGTCGACTACTAGGGTCTATCGAAAATTGGTCATAGCCAGAGTACAAGTCTATTAGGGAGTAAATGCTCCTTCCGACAAAGGACTCGGCCAACAGATCTGCGTTGGGTAAACTACCCGCATCGCGAACCGTTACCGAATTCAACTTTTGTAAGTTCTGTATCCAGCGCAGGCCACAGCCTGGCTTCCAAAAGCAAAACCAGTGATTGGCGTAAGCTCATCAGCTGGTTCCTCAACGTTGGAGGCGATCTTCTGGTTTATGTACTTTATTACCTCTTTTTCTTCCTTTTGAGCATACTTTGTGGGTCTATCATTCCAAGGTGTGTGAGGAACGGTCCAGATCTTGACCATCTTGATCATGTCAACGTCAAGTCGTCCCCTCTCCTCATCATTAAAGAAAAAGGCACCACTGTACTTCTGACATAATTCATATATGAAATCCCTCTCAGCCGGCAGAAGGAAGTCATCGGCTCCTACCTTCATTATCTTAAACCTCTCTGGGGTAATTCTCCCTCCTTTTAATGCAGCCTCTCTTAATCTTTTAATTATCTTTCTCTCCTTCTCTAATGCCTCATTGTAATCTTTCTCTATCAAAACGGCCACCGGATTCTTCTTAACGCCTTTGCGTTTATGCTTCCTCTTAGACCCGGTGGCTATTTTCCTAAAAAATGACCAGTCGCAGAGAAGGTGAGTTGCATCGTGCCAGCTTTGGCTGCCCTCACCACATCCTTGAATCCTTCCATCTCTCTCTTGTCGCCTAACTCCTTTTCTTTATCCAGGAGCTTGAGCATCTTCCCGATATCATTCACTCTAATCGTCGTCTTTTCATCTATTATTCCACTTTCTTTCAATTTTGCTCGTACTTCCTCAATCAACTTGTCAGATTCTCCATGCTTAAGGGAGTTAACATGTCGCTGATGACGAGGATGATGCCTATCACTTATCACAAAAGTCTGTTCTTGGCCAGTATTAGGGTCCTGGAGAGAGAGTCAGGCCGCCCCATCATGGCCGAAGAATGCACAAGCCTCCATTCTATGTAGGAAAGGGACTTCGAGAATGCAGTCATGATCCAAGTTGGGGACCACAAAACAGAGGATCTCGGCCCGTACAGTCCCAATCCGGATGGACAGATCATCAATGATTCCTTCCAATGGTAGGAATCTGGCTATATTGGAGAGCTGGTGGTTGACTTTCCTATCTATTCCAAGTCCACATGATCTCATTGTGGCCGAGGACATAAGCACCATCTCGGCCCCAGAGTCCACTAGGGCTCTAACCTTCACGTCATTCACAGAGATATTCAAGTATCCACACGACATGTTACCAAACCTCATCTTGGTACCAGGCGGGGCTCTTTCCACATATTGAGGGAAGAGTCTTAAGCTATTGATTTCTACCTTCCGCCTTTCAACCATCTTCTTAAGTTCTTCTCTAAACTTAGGTAACAAGGCTACTGCTTCTTTCCAGGATAGGGTGATCTCGGTCTCCTCGAGTAATTTCTTTACTACTTCATCTATCGAGATCCCTTCCTCGGCTTCGGATCTCAAGACCACCCTTCTCTTCTTCCCGGCAGCTTCCTTTCCTTTCCCTTCCTTCACTAGGTCCTTGGTCCCATCTATCAGCTGGTCTAGCTCTCTTTGAGCCTTTTCTCGCTTTTTCTCTTCGACCTCTTTTTGGCTGATATGGGATATATTCAGGTTTTGACTTTCAGGATTGTCGTCTTGAGCCACTATCTCCGGAGGTAGCATACCATCAGAGGTGATAACATTAACTCTAGCCTTCTTCTTTTTATCCTTATTGACCCTAGCCTGTTCTAGGATAACTGCTCGCATCCCTCCTTTGACTCGGAAATCTATCTTGTTCCAATTGGCATCACAGACGTGCCCATTGACATTCTTCTTGACAATCCCTTCTTCGAGTTCCTTCTCTAGTATAGGGCACCGAGTTATAGTATGACCTTCCTCGTCACAATAATAACATTGGAAGGGACCATCTCTCCTTTGCCAATCTCGGCTCTTATTATCTTTCTTCCAATCCCGGTCGCGCTTCTTCTTTTGACCATCTTCCTTTTGTTTCTCCTTCTTTCTTTCTACCTTACCTTCTTCGGCTCCAACAAGTGCTTGAGTTGCTGGGGCAGGAAGGGTTAACTTTTCGAAGCTACCAAGCTTAACGAGAAGACCAAGGATCTCTTCGGCCTTCAAGTTTCCTCCCGTAGCTGCCTCAACATTTCCTTCTCTTGCACTAGTGATTGCTTTCATCTGTTCCAGAGACCACTTCCGGTTTGACACCAAAGGTAGTTCACGAACCATCTCAACCACTTCATCCCTCTTCAGAGGATAATGAGCAGCGCGGCTTACCACACTCTTTCTTTCATCCTCTGCAAAATTAGTTAGCGGAACATGTTACTTTTGTTCCTCGTCTAGGAAGGGTACTCTCCGCGCAACCCGCTCAAAAGCCTCTAGGAATTGATCGAGGGTTGCATACTTGGAACGTCGTACTTCCAACAAATTTTGCATGGTCGTTGGGATGTCATACTTCGCGCATTCTTCCAGCATCTTTTGTCTAACCTCGACCCATGTTGTCAACCCTTGTGTCGTTTTTGTCACCGACACCCTCATCTTAGGCTCAACATAGGTCAGCAGAGCTTTTAACTTCTGCTTGTCCGACCAACCGTGGCTCATACCGAAGACATCATAGTCTTCCAAGAACTCCCTAACCTGGGTTCCATCAAAGCAGGGTATGTTCTCTGGAGGTACCTTGACTCTCGGAAGATCTAACCGGACATTCATAGTATCCATCCCGGTCTTCATGACCTCTATCCTGTTAAACATTTCTTGTAGAACAGTGGTAGTGGTCACTTCTCCGTCACCTGCGGAGGAACTAGCAAGGTTCTGCCTTGCATCCGGTCCCCTGACCATTTTGTCTGATTTACTGGTTAAACTCCTATTTCTTCCTCAGCCTTTTCTCTCTTTGGATTGCGTTTAAAATTGGTTCCCAATTTCTGCCGTCAGTAAAAATTTCAGGCAAACCTGGCTCGGGGAACCTGTCAAACGCAATCGGAGATAGGTTACTCACTACCCTTGCTCCTTTTCTTTTTAACTCTCTCTTTTCTTGGCTAACTATATCACTAATCCAGCCTCGAAAGGACTCACGATCTGTCCCTCTCTCTCTCAATGAGGGAATACAGGGACGGATATCGTATTCACCAGTGTCAAGGAACTTCACTACAAGGATATACGCCGTCCTAGGTGCATGCTTCTCTTCCAGGGATACGCAGCGCTCTACCTTGTACGGAAAAGCTCCTCCACTGGTAAAAGGAACTAGGGCGTCTAGTGCTGCCGTGACTGCCGGACAGTAACCAGACATTGCCTAATTCCTAACTTCCCTTAGTATCACTCTCGACCTTCCATATTCATCATAGACCTTGTGCTCTCCTTCTACTCCATAGACGCCGGTGTCAATATAGAGTTCACCTCCGGCCTCGCCGATGCAAGACGCGCCTCTCCTGATTTCTACTACCTCTGTTACTAGATCTCGAACCCTCCTACAAATCAAGGTTCCTAACAGGCATTGGTCCTCACGGCTCCAACTGCGAATGAGGGCTCTCACCTTCTCAGATTCTTGTCTTGCCAGCTCCTTCTCTACCCCTTGTCTTACTAAGTTACCTCCAATCGGGCTTTCACGATTGCCTTTCGCCATCTCATAATTTCTCCATCTTTAGTCAGCCCTGCATTCACCGAGTTTTCCTCTAAGAAGCCAACAAGTTTTCTGCCTTTGTCAAGTGACAGAAAATTCAGGAGATCCTTCATCCTAGACTTCGAACCGACGTACAAAGGTATCGGAAAATAACGTCTTCGGTCGCACGACTAGGTCATTCTCTCTTGCTTTACCAACCACGACAATAGCTTCTAGAAGAGGCGCCCAGTCTCTCCTGTCAGTGAAGCTATGCGTAGTCAGAAAACTAGGGAGTTTTTCGAATTGCCTGACTCGTTTCCCCCAAGTCACTTTCTCATGCAAGCTTCGAAGTAGCGCCCTTACCCTTGAAAGGTGAATGTACACTCTCCTCAAGCATTCTAAATAGCCTTCTTCCTCTTTTATTCCTTTCTGAGCATAAACCCTCACGTCAAGTTCGTTGGTCTTGAGAAATCTGACCACTGGAACATAGAATACTAAACGCCCTTCCTTACAGACGTCGTGTCTCAATATCTCGAACGGGCTATCAGTCTCAGTTACTTTATCTAACCATCCTCTACGAATGGTCACAGTCGCAATTGACGTAGAGTTTTCACATTCAAGTATCATTGCCTTGGGCTGCTTCTAGCGCCTCCAGCCAGACTATCCGCATGATGCTGTCTTAGATAGGATGGTCTCATCTCTCGCATGTAACATCACTCTCCTGCCTTTTTAATTTTTGCAATCCAGCAAATGCCTAATCTTAGTCTGATCCGTAATTGCTCTAAAAGCAGCCGCCCACATAAGCTCAAGGTAGTGCTCTACCATGCCAATCTCATAGCGCCTACCCAACCTAGTGTCGCATCCTCTCACGGACCCGATGACAGTCGCTCGTTGCTCATCTAGATAGACCTCGAAGCAGAAGCTCTCTCCGTCATCAGGAATGTATACATCTCTTGGCATGGTTCACCACACTCGGTCCCTAAGTACCTCGTTGAGGATTGGTCCCCAGTCCTTCCCGTCGCAGAAGCTAGCGGGCACAGGCGGACTTGGGAATCTCTCAAACTCCCTAGGCAGGATACTCCAAGTCACTTTCTTACCTCGTTGTCTCAGCAACAGCCTTTCATCCAGAACATAATCAGCAGCAGTTATCCAACATGCCTCGTAATCGATCCCTCTCCTTGTCTCAGCAGATACGTATGGCCTCACATCATAGTCATCCGTATCAAGAAACCGAGCTACAAGGACGTACAAGATCACTGAGTCATGCTCACAAGTCACGCATCTCTCAATGACGTACAAGAAGGCACCCCCAACCGTGATCCTAGTCAGTGCCTCTATCGCTTTCATTACTGCTGACATTGACTACTTACCAGGTTTGCCTTCTCAGCGCTGCATTGATGATTGGCTGTCAGTTCCTACCATCACAGAATCCTTTAGGTACTGGCGGGGTAGGAATCCTCTCATAAACCCTAGGCAGTAGGCTTCAACTCGCTTCTATCCCTTATTGTCTCAATTGATCCCTCTTGACTTTGACACACTCCACTATGACGTCGCAGTTGGTAAAGAAACTCCGATCTCGATCAGTCCCTTCTAGGATATAGGGTCGAATATCATAATCATCAGTGTCAAGGAATCTAGAGACAAGCACATGCACAGTCGTTGTACTTTTAACACAAGTAATGCATTTGACAAACATATAAGGGAAGGCACCACCGCAGGTGACACGAGTTAGGGCTTCAAGGACATTATACTCTTCAGTCATCATCTGGTTTCTGACTTATGGACTTTTCAAGCGAAGGGTCCAGAAAACAAATTCCAAACCCTTGCTTGCAGGTCTGAATCACTTCAGATAGACTTCTGCAAGAGGCCCCTCCTCTCGGGGCTCCCCTATCCGAAAGTCTTTCTGACCTGAGCCAAATCTTGTATGATATATACTAGACTGCTGCCTAGTCACAGAATATTGTGACCAAGGTCCGCTCCCAGGAACTCAAGATTTTTGAGTCCCTGGCAACGGCGTCATTTTTGTCGCGCCCCCACTGCTTCAAGGGTCCGGTTAGATATCCTTTTCCGGACCGAGCTCAGTGGGTTGGACGACTGGCAGGCTGTCACGCAGGATTTTGATAGGTATAAAATAGAGGTGTATTCAGAGGCAATCACACTTTGTCATATAGCCGAGTAGTCAGGGTTATCCCTCCTGCCAGCGGCGACACGGCTTAGAGTGAGGCGTTCGGGTTTATCGCGTGCACCTGGCCCCGTATAAAGGATAGACCCAAGGTCACCGGAGTCCCTATCATTCAGGAGTTCTTCAAGCTGCCTTGAGTGTAACCTGTGTAAAGTAAGAAGGAAAATAACATACATGCATCATAAAGCAATTGACACTGACAAGATAAGAAGACCAGAAACCAGACTCTGCAAGAGCATGACCAGAGAAACGAGACTGAAGTGTAGTACACAGTGTATGCAGGGAGCAATCATCGGAGGGCTGCAGTCACTAATAAATAATAATACCGTAATACACCATAGTGACTGAAAAGAGAGAACCTCAATCAATGATAATAAGCGGTACCTCCTCGTGAGAAAGTGCTGTCGTCTGGGACTCCGTATCTGGTACCTCGTCATTGAGAACCCGCGTGGGTATAGACTCTGGAACCACATAACTGATCTCGAGAGGCACTGCTGGATCAATCTTGCAGATATAGGCCATGCATCTAGCCGTCTCCTCGCCTGCGACACTCCAAAGATAAAGCTCCTCCGCAAGGATGATATCTCCTGAAGCGCCAATCAATATCTCAATACGTCCTCTCCCACCCGAGTAGATGAAGGATACCTCAAGGAAACGGTCTCCGTAAAGAGGCTTTCGATAAGCCTGCATAGCAAAATCTGTCCCGACCAAATGACTATAGCCACCTCCGAGATATGGGACCGGACCCTCCCCTCTTGGGGGACCAATAACTGTCTCAGACCTAGGGTCGTCTGACATGTAGGAGTCAATCACCCTCAAGAAGATACCGTGCAAGAAGATACGCAATCCTCCTCAAAGTCGCTCTCCGCCGTCGTCGCTCACCGGTCTCCAGCGCTCCTGTCACTGTCCACAAACTCAGCCTCTGTGAGTGTCCCAGTTGAAATAGTCGCCCAGATCAATGTCACTCACAGAGCAGGGCTCCAAGTCCGACTCATCTGTCTCTGATCTCTGGACGCATGTAGTGATTGGGACCCCAGATCTGGCTCTCTCTCTCCTAATCCGGTCGTCCTTCCACCTTTTGTCCTTGCTGCGAGACTCACTAAGGGGCTTGGGGTTGCATCCGTCAAAATCGAAGAGCACACCCCCAGGTGCTAAACGTACGCAAGGGAACACCACGTGTAGCCAGTTGTCCCTCCAATAGCTCTCCCTGCGAAATATGTAATCAGCAATCCTGTCGTATGTGGTACCCTTCACCCCCGTCTTTGCCCCTTCACCGAGTATGTGATCACGAGCGTGTGTCTCGAGGTCGAGGAATCATTAGCCCTGATAGTGAAACTCTGATGTCCCACATGTCTGTAGCAGAAGCTCTCAATCATTCTACCCCACTTAGGGGCAGTCTCACGATGACGGGCCAGCTTGGACAGAAAGCACACTCTCACTAGTGCGGATGCTCCCTCCAAGACCTGGCCGGATGGTAGTCAACAACGCACTGTAGGGGCCTATCTGAATGGCCTGACTGAACTGCAACTCGATAGGGCCCGCCTGAATGGGCCCACCTGAACATCAACTCAATATAAAGCCCGTCTGAATGGGCCCGGCTGAACTGCAGCTATCTCAGAAGAACGGGGCCCGCCTGAAGGGGCCTGGCTGAAAACTGCAACAATCTCGAGAGGTGGGCCCGCCTGAAGGGGCCCGCCTGAACAGCAACAATCCCAGGTAGGCCCGCCTGAAGGGCCTGGCTGAACAGCAATAATCTGAAGTAGGCCCGCCTGAAGGGCTCGGGTAAACAACAACTGATCAGTCAAACATCTCATGCACAGGGACCAGTCGTAAATGCTAAATGTATTGGGGCTAGACTGAACCAGGTCATCTGAGCAGGGACTGAAATGCCAATGCTCCCCGTGCGAGGGAAAATATCACGTGCATGAGGTATTGCTGATCAGCAAGGAAATAAATCAACGGAAGCGTGATGGCAAATCATCTCAGCTAGCAATCCTATGCTTGGGTGCACAAGGGTTCGCAATCAAACGACAATATCCAGCCTGGGCGCACACATATCCAGCGCAAGTGCACATGGGCGCGCACTCAAATAACGAAATTCAGCCTGGGCGTACACTGGTGCGCAATATCCAGCCTGGGCGCACACTGGGGCATACTCTAACAGCAATATCAAGCTTGGGCGCGCACTCTCAAGCTTGGGCGCGCATGGGCACGCACTCTAACTGCAATACCAAGCTTGGGCGCGCATGGGCGCGCACTCTAACTGCAATGCCAAGCTTGGGTGCGCATGGGCGCGCACTCTAACTGCTTTTCCAAGCTTGGGCG